GGATTGTCATTTTGGCCAAGATTTGCTTTAAAGGATGACTTGTTGCAGTATAGAAACCCAATTCTTGACTTGACTTAAGAAAGTAATGAATTATTGTGAATATCAAATGAAAGTGTGCCATCAAGCCAGATACCTAAATACTAATAGGAACTGACAAGCTGTACGTCTGTACCATCCAGGGAAACAATACTAAGGTGGACAGTTGATTGTGGTAAGTTATGGTTGAAGATCATGAACTTTGTTTTATTTGTGTTTAAATGAAGATGAATGTTGGAGAAGGCACATTGAAGACAATTAAAGTTGTGCTCCAAGGAGGACAAAGCTGTGTTCAAGAAAGAACTGCATGCATATAAAATTGTGTCATCTGCATATAAATGTATATGAGAACTGTCAAGAGCATGAACAATGTTATTAATATAGACTTTGAATAAGGTTGGGCCCAGTATTGACACTTGAGGAACACCCATAGATGGAGGTAGAGGAGAAGATTGGTAACCCTCTGTTCATTGTTTGCGTACGGCCTAAGATATAACTTCTAAACCATGCCACAGAGGCCTGAGAAATTCCTATATGTTTGAGCCTGCTAAGTAAGATGTTATGGTCTAACATGGTCAAATGCACCTTAAATGGTTTTACTTCAAATTGATTGAGCTTATCGTAAATCAACCCTCCTGAAAATCCATGATTCTAATTCAGGAACTGATCCCTCAAACCATTACTGTCAATGACTACCCATCACTCCACTCATTTACATAAGCTAATGATCTAATTATCAAACCCTCTGACTATCGATCGTCTCTTCACACCGACATCTGTGGGGTCTCACCGTCCAAAAGCAAAGATGATTGTCAGCAGTGGGATGATCTTCAACTGCTCCTGGCTCAGATACATCGCCAAGACTACCAACTGAAGGAAGTAGATCAGGAAAAGTGAGGCGGAGTCGGAAACAAAACGTCGGTGGACACCAACTTCCTGAAGCTCTGCTTCCTTAACGTCATCAGAATAAAACGGTTGAGTTGCACCCGACCTGAGTCGACTGACCCCTAGAACCAACCAGCCTGAAAAAGAGATCAAAGACATTTAAAAAAATGTACGCATCAAATGAGGAAAACAAGACTCAAAAAGCAGGAAACGAAGGAACTCAACATCAACATGAAATTAAAGTCTTAGATCATCACACTGCTCAGTCTCAAACAGGTAAGAAAAGCAAGAGAGACAGGTGGTACATATCTACAGTATCAGCGTTGGACCTACCAAGGATGATGGGAGCAGCAGCAAACACAGAGCAACGCAGAGTGTAGACAAGCCTGAGGGGGGCGCTATCAAGCAGAGGTGCATCAAACGGCAGGAAGACAAACCCGCCCCACACCAGAAATGGGAAAAACAGCGCTGATGTCATCAAGGAGACGCCCATTTTCAGGGCATCTCGGTCAGGGCAACCACAGTCACCTGAAATGGGTAAAACAGTGTCAGCAAGCCCCACCAGATAGGTAAAACATATAGAAACTGAGACCAAGTTTGGACTTAATAATTTAACACATTCAAATTCTTTAAATAATTTATCTATTTAGTCGCATCATTTTTGGCCCTCTGTCTGCATTAGTCAAGATAAACTAAGAACACTGTGTTCTTAATTTATCTTCCGTTTGAGGAACAGCAGCAACTTTTTCTCTAGGCTGAATTCCATATTCAACGACAAAAATGATAAACCAGCCTCATAAAAATATGTCAACTACTACAAATTAAATGTAGTTCAGGTTTTAAGGCTACCTTTTTCTTAGTGTCGGCTGAATTTAGGTCACTGCTAGCTAATTACACAAACAATCGGACAGAATTCCCGGTTTTCCCTACTTCTGGTAGGTGTAGCCGTTCACAAAATCAAATCAAGTAGTTTTTAAATGTCATTTCAAATGTTCATGACATCCAGCTGAATCAATAAATAGATATAAAAAAAAACCAATGGAACAATGACAGAAAGGCCAATAGGCCAATCGGTGAAAAAAAGCAGGTACACTTACACTTGGCAGGGGGCGCGTCCTCGGCAAATTGATCTTGGTAGCCATGTTGGCTGTAGTTGTCTCCATGAGGACTCAGAAAGGGACTCCTCTCTGATTCCCAGACTTCCTCAGTGTCTCTGGATGACAAGGGGCAGGGGAGGACAGTTACAGATGGACTGAAGACCAGAGCTGCTTTTCCTGGCAGGTGGTTCTCTTCAGCTTCCTCCTTTTTTCCCAACTCCTCACCTTTAAGCTCCTCCTCCTCTCCCCCTCCTCCCCTTTTTCCTTGTTCTGTCTTCAGCTGTCGCTCACTTTCTGTCCAACTAGATGCCTCGCGAAGAGATGAATCGGACCTCACACTCATCCCGTCACCTTTAACCTTCTGTCCTCCCATCTGTCCTGCCTGTCTCTCTGTTTGCCCATCTGTCTTATGGTCTCCAGGCCACTGCTGGGTACTCTGTTCCATCGTGTTTGACATCTTTGCTTTGTCTTCTCCTCCAGGTTCTGTCCCCCCACTGTCTTCCATCTTGGTATCCCCTGCCAAGGGATGATCATGTGTCAGCCGAGACATCTCCATCTGTCCAAGGAAACAGAAGACAGTCTCCCTTATAACCAGGTAGCAGAAAGACCAACATCTCTGACCTTTTCCATATGGATGTGAATAAAACAGGAAGCACCTCTAACATCAGTTTATTTCAGTGGTGAGTTTTTGACTGTTTTACAAAATAAAATCAGACGGATTTTTGTGTGAACAGACTTTTTAACGTAAACCATCATCAGTAAGACAACCAAGAAAATTGGTCAAAAATTTGTAGTAAAAAAAACTTTTAGAAATCCTCTCAAATTTGACCCAGTGCCTAATTTTGCAGCTTGATATTAGATCGTTCAAATTCTATCTGTACACTTTTAATTCAGAAAGCTGAAAAATCTACAAACATCCTGGGATCAGATCTCTGATGGGGGTTTTATTGGGATCATCATTTCCTCCTGTTATCTAAGGTCAGGTTATAGAGGCACCAGGACCAAGAGCAAAACCCAAACCCCAGATCGTAGTTGACATATTAAATTCCCACATCTATAAATGTATATACATTCGTTCATCCATTTTATCTGAGTGCAGGTTATGGGGCGGCAGCTCCAGCAGAGGAGCACACTGTTCTCTTCCCGGCAACTTCCACAAGCTCCACCGACAGTATCAAGACGATCCCTAGCCAACGTGCAGATACAATCCCTGGTTTGACTCAGGGGGCTCCTACTGGCACGACACAGGGGCGTAGGTTTGGCATGGATGGAGGTGACGTGTCCCCACCACCAATAATTTGACCTCCTCCACTAAAAAACAAGCCATTCAATGTCTCATTACCCTAGAGGTGCAGAGAGGGTTAACTGACGTTCTCTCCTCATATGGCTAGTGTGATTGGCTGCGCGTGCCATCACGGGAGACTCACGTGAGACAAACTACGCTGGTTGTTAGCAGCACCAAAGCTTGAAGGAAAACGTACCAGTCAAATGCAAGACCCCTGTGTTTGCAATGAGACACACAAGGCCGAAAGTGAGTGTAACCAAAGGTCCTGAGAGGATGGTAGTAGGGCTGCTCAATTAATCGAATTTTAATCACGATTACGATCTGAGTTTTGAACGATTATAAAAAACAAAACAAGCCGATTATTTGCTCCTCCCGCTTGCGCTGCCCTGAGTTGCAAATGAAGCGCTCCTCCACAGTGTTGCCAACTTAGCGACTTTGACGCTATTTCTAGCAGCTTTTCAGACCCCCTTCTTGACTTTTTAATCCTAAAAGTACCTAGCGAACATCTCAGAAACATCTCTGGTAACCCTTAGCTACTTTCTGGATAACGGTCGTCGACATTTCCTGCAGGTTAGCTAAACACTCCGCCTGAGCTCCGGACCGTTCTTCACAACATTAGGAAAGGGAATGATGTAGTGATGTGTCGGTCGCTAAAGACAGCTCTCGGAGCCGGCTCCTTGTTGGATTAACCAGAGTGAGTGACACACACACCGCACCTGCGGACTCCTGAGCAGCTAAAAACAGCTAAATGTGCGCGTGCAGCGCGCTAAACACACGTGCAGCTTGCCCCTGATTGCTGTGAGACCGGGTTGGGGGGTGGGGGGTGCAGCTGTAGTTGGGACAATTATTACATTAACTGATGGACTTGTAAATAAATAGTTTATAAATAAGGTAGAAATAAGTTCCTCACGCTGATAACTAATAACTAACCTCTCTGAGGACACGGTGCTCCTACAGCACCTTGACACGACTCAATAAATGTTATGCAACATTTTGTGAACATCAATTTATTTGCATTTATTTGTTATAAATGCCACTGTATAATTCTTGCTGTCAGTATTTGCAAGATATTGGTATTTGGTTCTGTACTGGTTAGACTTAAATGAGTTAAACCAAGGTCTATAGCCCTTGGGTCATAGACTATGAGCTATAAGTATATTGGTCTTTTTATACTGGGAATCAGGAGATATTTTAGTGATAATCTTGTTTCTTATTTATTTTTGTCCTGATTGTGCCCTGAGCAATTTTATGACTGAATAAAAACAAATAAAATCATCATAAATTGAAAAATCGTCCTAAATAATCGTGATCTCAATTTCAGTCACAAAAATCGTGATTATTATTTTTGCCATAATCGAGCAGCCCTAGATGGTAGACTTACAAGTTTCCCCCAATGTCAAATCTATGCGAATGCCTGAAACACCTACGCTAATGCCTGAAACGCCTCATGTGGCTCCTCTCGATGTAGAGGAGCAGCAGCTCTACTCTGACGCTCTCCTGAATGTCCGAGCTCTCCACCCTGTCTCTATGGCTGAGACTGGCCGCTTAACAGATTCCTCATATTTGCAATCTTGTTCTTTTAAGAATAAGAATACCTTTATTAGTCCCTCAGTGGGGAAATTGCATTATTGCAATGGCTCAGGTACAGCAGGATAGCACACAAGATATCACACAAGAGTACATAGTGTAGCGTGATGAATTGCCCATCTTTGACCTAAAAGGCCCTGCTCTATTTGCTCTGCCCAAGCAGAAACACAAGTTTCTGACACAAGCCTAATCTACAAGATGTGGGCCAAGGCCACTCATACTCTGTGCTCTTATCTAAACTGTTACTTCCCCAGACAGCACAAGAACGAAAAAAGAAGAACTCTTTTAGAAAGAACTTTTCTCTTTAAATAATAATTAAATAACTTCTGTTAGTCCAAATAATCATGTGAAGCTAATGTTCAATCAATGTGTGAAATGAGAATATTGATATTATAATCCTATGATAAGTAATATAAATTTAAATATTTACACTAGACTGATCACACGTAATGTTAAGTCACATGACACATTTCCTTTTTCTGATCCAATCAGAACCTTCCAGATCTGACGCGAGGCGTGGTTTTATTGGTGCTTGTTAAATCGTCTTTTGTGTCAAATTCTGATTCGACCATTAATCAAAACATCCACGTTATAAAACTATGCCCCACGTCATCTTAACTGGAGTTCCAAGCGTTCTAGAGAAGTTATCAGAGTGGCCAATCCGTAACTTTCCTCTTAAAGCCGAAATAACCTAACGACAAGCTGGATTAAATCTGTTGCATGTTCCACCTGCTGCAACGGTTCCTTTAGAATAAAAGCTGAACCATCACGACCCCCTTCAGGGTCTTGCTGATGCCAATAAACTGTTGTGACCTGGGAGTAACTCAAGACTGGAAGGGTCAGCAACCGCTGCATATCTACAGTCGTCGGTTCCAAGAGGGTCCAAGCTGGACCCCCGACATTCCAGATCTAAACGGGGACTTCCATTGGGGTACGTAGACTGACAGATGGCGTCTCAATGTGTGTTATAATCTCCAAACCAAAGCTTAGAGCGAAACACCATTTCACTCCCATCAGAACTAATCGTTTCTCTGGATTTGCTGGTTCTGAACATATTTCACACACAGACCAACCTCAGTCTTACTCCACCTTAGTTAATCATCACATAGTGTTTAAAGTTAGTCTTGTTTAAATTGTTTAGAAATAAATCTTTTAACTTTTTAAACCCGACTCTCTTTCTTGGAGTTGATACGAAGTGTTGCTCAATCCCTGCAATAAAAAGATCCGATCTTATGGTTAAATGTACTCAAAGATCCATTAAGGTGATGTTTCATATTTTATGATATTTTACATTCTATGGTTTCTAATTAAATATAAGAACATCTTCTCTACAATAGTAATAGTAAGTTAAGATAATTATTGCACATGCTAATGAGAGTAGTAGTTATATTGCACGTTTTGAAAAGATGATATTTGCAGTGGAAGGTTACAGATGTTTGGCTTCTATTAGCAGTGACTATTATGGAGTCTAACAGCAGCAGGGAGGAAATATCTGCGGTATCTCTCCTTCGTACAGCGAGGGTGGATCAGTCTGTTGCTGAAACTGCTCTCCAGAGCAGACAGGGTATCCTGCAGTGGGTGTGACTCATGGTCCAGGATGGATCTGAGTTTTGCCTGTACCCTCTTGTCCCCCACCTCTCGTACTGAGTCCAGAGGACAGCCCAGGACAGACCTGGACTTCTTTATCAGCCTGTCCAGCTTCTTTCTCTCCCTCTCTGTGATGCTGCTGCTCCAATACACCACACCATACAGGATTGCTGATGCCACCACAGAGTCGTAGAAGGGCTTCAGGAGTGTCCCCATCACCCCAAAAGACCGTAGTCTCCTCAGGAGGTGGAGCCTGCTCTGGCCCTTCCTTCCTGTCTGTGTTGTGAGACCAGTCCAGTTTGTTGTTCAGGTGAACACCCAGGTATTTATAGGAGTCCACTCTCTCGATGTCCGTTCCCTGGATGTTCACCGGTGAGGGGACAGCAGGCCGGCGTCTGCGAGGATCCACCACCATCTCCTTTGTTTTCCCTGCATTGATCAGGAGGTGGTTTTGCTGGCACCAGTCGACGAAGTCCTGCGTCAGTCCTCTGTACTCCACATCGTCGTCCTTGATGATCAGTCCGACAATCGCAGAGTCTTCTGAGAACTTCTGCAGGACACAGCTGTCCGTGTTGTGTCTGAGGTCAGCGGTGTAGAGGGTGAAGAGAAATGGAGCCAAGACAGTCCCCTGGGGCACAACCACACTGCAGGTCAGTGGGTCAGACACACAGTCCCGGGATCTCACAAACTGGGGCCAGTTTGTGAGGTAGCTCAGGATCCACTCTGCCAGGTCCTCTCCAGTTTAGTTTTCAGAATCCTTGGCTGGATGGTGTTAAAAGAACTGGAAAAAAAAATCAATGAACATGATTCTCACTGTGCTGCCAGGCTTCTCCAGGTGAGCCAAAGCACGATGTAGTAGACAGGTGACTGCACCTTCTACTCCAACCACTGGTCGGTAAGCAAACTGCAATGGATACGTCGAAGGTCCCACAGTAGACCGGAGGTGTCCCAGGATCAGTCTCTCCAGTGTCTTCATCAGGTGGGATGTGAGAGCCACCGGCCGGTAGCTACTGAGCTCATTAGCTTTTCGTGTCTTCGGCACTGGAACCACACAGGAGGTCTTCCAGAGCTGAGGTACCACCCTCAGCTTGAGGCTCAGGTTGAAGACATGCTCTATAACTCCACTCAGTTCATCTGCGCAGGATTTAAGGAGACTGGAGCTAATATTGTCAGGACCAGCAGCTTTTTTCGCTTTGATCTGCATCTGCTCTCTCGTCACCTGGCCTGTTGTAAAGGAGAGGAGTGGGCAGTGGGGCTCTGTACTGGGGAGGGGGCCGAGTCCTGGGGGATGCACGATGGTGCGAATGGAGGAGCCAGAGGTGTGAAGGGCTGTAGTTGTAGGGGGTCTTCCAGGTGTCGAGTTATTTGAATGAGGCTGTGTGGGGGAAGGGGTGGGTGCTTGGTCAAACCTATTGAAATACAGGTTTAGGTAGTTGGGCCACTTCAGGTCCCCCTCCCCCTGTAAAGCCGGGCGTACACTGTGCGACTTTTTCACTCGCAGCGTTCAGCTTCAGCTCAAACTGTACGACTTCCTCGCAGAGCAGATCTCACGAGTCATGTGCTCACACTGCACGACCCAGTTCTCGCATGCGACCTGACTGCTCACACTGTACGTCTGGTAGCAACACGTCGGCCCTAAAAATGTGCTAAAAATAGCAGTTTTTACTCAACACGTCAGACTTTTTTGTCTTGCCTGTTGTTCTTCGGGAGTGCTGCAGGAGGACACACAGGGATTTATGGGGGTTGGATGAGGAAAACGAAATAAAGAAAGTGAATCTGTTTTTTGTGATCAGTTTAATTTGACATGAACACGACAAACACGCTTTCTTGACAATCTTTGTGAGTAAAAAAACGTGTAGAAACAAAAACGAACAGCGTGTGTTATTAGGGAAATAGCGAGCGACCGGCCGGCGTTGATGCAGGATTGCGCGCGCATGCGCCGTGAGCGGTTCTGATACTTTTTGGATCGTAGCTGCTCGCAGCTGCTCGCAGCGCCACTTCAACAGTGCGATACCCTCACGAGGGACGAGCGAAATATTAAACACACCAGAAGTCCCTGCGACCTCACGACTGCTGATCGGCGGCTGGTCACGTGGTGTTAATCGCCTCTCGTAACCCCCTGTACACTACACGACCGCTCGGCGCAAAACTCGCCCCGATGTCGTGGCTTCTCGCACGACTGGAAAATCGGCTCAAAAAAGTGAAAAAGTCGCACAGTGTACGCCCGGCTTTAGTGGGGTGTTTTGCTTCTCCATTTTCCTATTGTAGCTGGCCTCCCTAATCTTCCTCCTCAGCTCCTTCTGAACGGTTCTCAGCTACTCCTTGTCCCCAGATTTGAAGGCTCTCTTTTTCTCCTTTAAGAGAGTTTTGATGTTGGGGGTGATCCATGGTTTGGTGTTCGCGGAGCACCACACCGTCCTGGAGGGAACGGTGTTCTCAAAACAGAAGTTTATGTAGTCCGTGATGCAATCTGTGATGGCATTAATGTCTTCCCCATGTGGATCACAGAGATCTGTCCACACCGTGGTGTTGAAGCAGTCCCTGAGAACCTCCTCACACTGATCATTCCACCTCCTCACTGTACGTGGGGCCACAACCTGCCTGTTTGGATTTCACCTAAAGCTTTTGAGTAACCTATAGGTACGGCCTGGGACAATTATTCACAATTAAGAGTTTCCCCTGCATCTCTGTGAACTTGACAAGCTCTTCACTGCTTTCTTGTCCTGCTTTGCAAGATAATATATATATATATATATATATATATATATATATATACATATATACATATATATATATATATATATATATATATATGTATATATGTATATATATATATATATACACACACACTTTTGATAATGAGGACAAACAGCCACTTTTACTGCAGTTTTGCTCAAAAACATCAGTTCAGTCCTTGTGATCCACTCGCTGTTTACCTCCTCTTTCCCTCCTCAGCTGTGGGAGCTCTGTGAAGCTGACCCCCGTCAGCTTCAAAAGTGCAGGCAAATAGGCTGCTCGATTAACTACAGGGGTGAGGAGGACTAATGCAAACAAATGGGAATTACAAGGGAGGAGGAAAACATGAGGAAAGCCTAGAGGGAGCTGGGGAACACAAGAAGACACATGAGGAGAACCTGAGGGAGAACAGGAGGGGGCTGGGGACCAAGGGGACACAGAACATGACACATTCACCTGGAAAACCAGAAATTAGTTTTTAAACTCTAAAGAAAATTTTGAACAGGGCATAGCGGAGAAACGACAGACTCTAAATGATGTGAAGAAATGTTTAAAAGCTGAAAACATTCATCTGGAGAACCAGAAATCAGAGTTTGAGCAGAAAAAGACAGAATTACAGCATTAGATTAGATAGACAATTTCTGCTCAAAGAGGAATTAAATATTCAACTTCTCAGAGAGAATCTGCAGGAAGAGAAATGGGAGTTTATTAAAGCAGTAGAAGAAGCTAAAAGTGATTTCAATGAAAGTCTAATTTAAATGAGAGTTTAAAATGTATGATCATTGCGAGTCTGTGTGTGTATGTGTTTGTGGGGGGTGCAGTGTGTGCGTGCGTGCATGTGGCAAGGACGGGGAGCGCGAAGGATCAAGCCTGGGGTACCAAATTCGGTAGAGTCAGCCCTGGTGTTACCTGACACCTGATGATAGGCCCTAGGTAGGCGGCCTTGGGGATCAACCCAGCGGCATGATGACTGAACTTTTCGGAACTGATCTGCTCTGGGTGGCTGCATGTTGGAGTAGCTCTGTTGACGATATGTAAGTTTTGTCTTTTCTTGGACATTTTTTCTTCAAAGTTTCTCAAGAAAAACGTATTTTTTTTTTGGACATTTTACTTTTCTGTTTCTGGTGCTGTGAAGCTTGGAGGATTTTTTTCTGCAATTGTTTTGCTTTTTTCACTTTTTGAGCATTTGTTATGATGCGTAACCATGGCAACAAGTTGGTTTACAAGCTGGTTTACAGCTGATTAACATTGGAAAGGCTGAAATAATACCTCAACCGAAGCCACCAGAGGTGGAAAGTAACGAATTACATTTACTCACGTTACTGTAATTGAGTAGCTTTTTTTGTTTATTTATACTTTTCAAGTTGTTTTTAAAATCTGTACATTTACTTTTACTTCAATTCAATTCAAAAATACTTTATTAATCCCAGAGGGAAATTGATTGCTGTAGTAGCTCAGAATAATAATAATAATCAAGTCGTCAAAGAGTTATTGTACATCACAATGGCTGTTGGCAGGAAGGATCTCCAGTAGTGGTCAGTGTTGCAGCGAAACTGAAGAAGCCTCTGACTGAACACTCTTCCGTTGTCAGACAGTCTTGTGAAGAGAATGCTCAGGATTGTAATTTTCTTGATTCTCTCCTCCAGCGGTTCCAAAACTGCCGAAACTCTGGCTGAGTCCTTGAAAGGGCTTGGAGTTCCTCCATCTTGTTGGCCAGTGATCTCACATTGCCCATTATGATCGATGGAGGAGATGGTTTGAATTTCCTCTTTCTCTGTCTCCCATTTTGCTTCCGCTCTGCATCCACGCTTCTTGCGCTTTAGCTCATTTGGGATTTGTGGCTTCAGTTGAGGTATTATTTCAGCCTTTCCAATGTTAATCAGCTGCTCCCGATTGTAAACCAGCTTGTTGCCATGGTTACGCATCATAACAAATGCTCAAAAAGTGAAAAAAGCTAAAAAAAAAAGCAGTAAAAATCCTCCAAGCTTCACAGCACCAGAAACAGAAAAGTGTCGAAAAAATACGGTTTTTCTTGAGAAACGAGAAGAAAAAATGCCCAAGAAAAGGCAAAACTTACATATCGTCAACAGAGCTACTCCAGCATGCAGCCACCCAGAGCAGCGCAGTTCCAGAAAAAAAAAGAACTTTGCTTCATTTAGTCACATATTCAACATTTTGCTATAATTTACCTCAATTTTTATTTTTTTTTCTGCTGCAAGACACTGTTCCAAGTTCTCTCTATCATCCACCATTATCCATCCATTCCTTATTTTAGTGGAATTTACTTTCAACATTTTCTATGTGAAAGCTTACAGCAAAAAGGTGACAAAAAGTCATAAAAGCATTTGATTATATTTATAGTGAGAGGAACAGCAGAGAGCAATAAACACAATTCAGTCACTACATTTAAACTACAGCAAATAAAACAGTTTAGCATGTCACACCTGGATCTTACAGCATAACATCTGGATGTTACAGCATAACATCTGGATGTTACAGCATCACATCTGGATGTTAAAGCATCACATCTGGATGTTACATAACCATTGGATGTTCCAGCATAACATCTGGATGTTCTGGCGTCACACCTGGTTGTTACAGCATCACTGCTGGATGTTACAACATCACATCTGGATGTTACATAAACTTTGGACGTTCCAGCATCACATTTGGATGTTCCAGCATCACATCTGGATGCTACATCATATCAGGATGTTACAGGGCCGCATTTGGATGCTACAACATCACATCTAGATATTACAGCTTCACATCTGGATATTACACCATCACAACTGAACGTTACAACATCACATCTGGATGTTACAGCATCACATCTGCATGTTACAACATCAACTCTGGATGTTACATAACCTTTGGAGGTTCTGGCATTGCATCTGGATGCTAATACATCACATCTGGATGTTACAGAGTCACATCTGTCAATGGTCAGAAAATGTTTGGACAAAAAAAAATTACAAACTGAAAAAAGTGCAGCTTTTGACTGAACATCTATCACATACTTAAAAATCTAATTTAAGCACTTCCTGTTTTCAGTCAGCAGATTAACATAACATTTCAAGTTTATAGTGTTTAGCAAACAGAACACAGAGACAGCATCCACGGATACAGCGTCCGTGGAGATGAAGTCCAGCAGGTATTTGGGTTTTTAGACACTTTATAGCTGAAGCTTGCAAGTGTTTGAACAACCACTTCATAATCATCATCAATCACATTTCAGCACTAACAGCTGATCAGTTAACTCTTATTCTACACAAGACACAGCCATGCTAACATGCTAACATACATTAGCCGTGATGTCATCAGGCTCATTTGTATCAAATGTAAATAAAAATGTTTTGGCTTCAGGTGAAAACAGAGTCTAAATATTCCTACATCAAACATTTCTAAAACTACATGTCTTTTTAAATAAAGTTCATGCTGAATAAACAGGTCAAAGGCATTCTGGGAAATGTAGTGTGGTGACAATCATTTGTCTGCTTCAAACAAACATATGGACCGCCACCTTGGTTCTGATTGGTCCCAAATGTTTATGTTATAACTGGATTCTAATCAAACTACAGCAGAGAGTCCAGAAACCCAGTTTAAAAATAGGTCCTGTTCTGTTCCAGTTCATCCTTCAGATCAGTGGTTCCCAACCTGGGGTCAGCGACCACTCACACCCATGCCCATCCTACAAAACTGCATCTATTTATCTTCCACTGGAACTACAACAACCCCCACAGTTATGTTTGTGCTGAGGTTGGGAGGTTACCAAGTTAATACTTTTATAAATTACGTAAAAATAAAAATCACAATAACAACAAATAATATCATCAAATGTAAGTATATGAGGTAAAACTCTACATGGCTAAATAAAGTGTGTGTTTAACATGTTTATGTTTATTTATTTGGCAGACGCTTTTATCCAAAGCGACGTACAATTGTTAACCTACAGGGCATGTTGTGATCTGAGGGGGAAACCGGAGTACCTGGAGGAAACCCACACATGTATGGGGAGAACATGCAACTCCACGCAGAAGGCCACAGCCGAGTTTCGAACCTGCAACCTTCTTGCTGCGAGGCAACAGTGCTAACAACTGCGCCACCATGCAGCCCATATACTGTGTATATAATGGACAAATCCTCAGGCATGTCACCCGTAGGTTAATGAAGAGCTGCCAAAGGAGCAGATCCCACCACCGCCATCATGGCTGTGTCGTACATTTCTTCAAACCCCAGAAAATACAAACATTGAGCTGTGAGGGTGGGGGCAGATTATTGACACCCATCAATTGTTGAGCTGATGTCGCTACGAGCTAACTGACGCCAACGAAGGTTGGCGGGCACTTTTAGCCAGAAAACCGCGGTTGAGCGACTCTGCTACACTCGGTCTTCTAGGCTACAACACTTTAAGTGTGAGGCCGAAGCTGCTAGTGCTGGCTCATCTGTTATTTGTCTTGGGAAGTTGGAATTTTAACATGGGAGTCAACTGGAACTTGCTCCTTTTTGGTGCTAGCCCCTAGTGGGTGAGGGAGGAACAAACTTTTTTGTCACTTCCTTTTTGGCTTTACTTTGGCAGCCAGAGTTTCCCACTTGGCATTTCCTCACTTAATGTGTGAATGTGGGTAGGAGATTGTGTTGGGTTTCCTTGGCTTGTCTTGGACACAGGCAAAGGGGGGCCTCGAGGGAAAGGTTTGGGAACCACTGCTTTAGATCAGCACAAGAACTGGACCATTTATACCTCAGAACCATATCAGAGTCTCAGGAAATCTTTTCCAGCAGGCTGTTGTGTTTTTTTTTCAACACCCAAGTCCATCTAAAAAAACTGCATCTATTTATCTTCCAAAGGAACTACAACAACCCAGAGTCCTCCTGTCCTCTCAGACCGTGGGTCATCCAGACAAAAGGTTCTGGTTCTGCTCCTGTTAAAGCAAGTTGTTTTTTATCCATCTAAAAAGCTAAACCGGTATTCAGTTTGATTAAAACTGGATTTGATGCTGGTTCTATGATGGAGCAGGTGTAGCCTCGCCTCTCGCCTGCTCGTCAAGGGTCCCAGCTCCTGAGATCCTGAGCCAGATTAAAAAGGTACAGAAACTAGATGAATCTGGATTGGACCCGTTTTGTTTTCCCCGTAAAGAACCCTGATAACCTTTATTGTGAAAGTTTCTAAACAACTTTGGGTCAGGGTTTGCCGATCCACCAGGTTCTGACCACTAATCTGAGGGGTTCTGCTGCTCTTGCTGGGTTCTGGCTCTATGTTCTGAATGCCCTGTCAGGTCCTGACCCCCTAACCCTGACCCATTTTTAAGGTGGTAGTGGTGGGAGGGAGGGGTCCATCTTCGAGGATTATGTTAGCTTAAGGTCCCCAACAAACAACCAGGAATAAACCACTCACTCAGCAGAATGGATCCAGCCAGGACAAAGAACAACATAGACACAACAGACTCCTCCCACCTGCCCAAAAACCGTTTTTCTATGCCCCTCCCTTTGTAAAGCTCCACCCACTTCAGACAGTGGATAAAGCTCCAACACACATTGGCACAAACAGGTCACATGGTTCTACTTCCTGTTTCTAACTAACAGCAACATTCAGAAATGAGAAATATTGGTCAGCTGAGATCAGATGTTTGGTCTAAAACAGGAAATGACATCATCACCAATGCCTTTCACCATAAAAGTCCAACAACGAGTTGATGTTTGTCCATCCGTGACATCACGGTGAGGTCAGTCGGTGGGGTTAACTCTCGCTTTCCTCTGGGATGTCCTGCAGATCTGAAGGGTCAGAGATCATGGTTACCATGGTATCCATAACTGATCAAAAACAACATGATTTTCATCAAACTGCGGTCTGAGAGTGGATGACAGGCTCTTTTCTGACCTCTGGGGCTATCAGAACGTGGGGAGATCTTCATCACCTCCTCCTCCTCTTCATTTAATTCTTCAACTCCATCTAATTGGTCGAGTGGATCTTCAGTGGCCAATGGAGCGAGGGGGTGGGGCTCTGGGTCCTTGCTGCTGGACTTCTTGTTGAGCTGCTGGGAGACACACCTGACCTCAGCATCTTTAGGATTGTAATGACTGCGGTTGCTTTACCTGGCTCACCAGACGCACCTGTTCATCCTTGGTGACATCAGCTTTGTTTTTGTTTTTGTTCCTCTTTTTTTTGCCAGTTCCCGATCCCTTCTTGTTCGACTCCTCCGCCTTTAGACGCAGCCGTGCCAGCTCTTCCTGCAGAAGCTCCACCTGGCGCTGCAGAAGCACCACCTCCCCACTGGCATCCAGTCCTGTGTCCCGCGACATCGATCGGCTGAGACGAGGTCCTGGGGTGGAGCCAGAGGTGGTAGAAGAGATGGGTCCAGCACCCACCGCCAATTCCAGAATGGAGTCTTGGCGAATCACAGCAGCCTGGGGGTGGAGTTCAGAGTTCAGTTACACCAGGACACCCCAGATTTAGTCGGATCGAGTGTTCTGGACTAGACCATATGTAAAAATTAAAGTTTTCAGACCTGCAAGGCATGAAGCTGCGTGCTCAGATCGACCAATCGCTGGTGGACTTCCTTTGAGGAGAAGAAACTGATTTTAGTCGACTTGATTCTGCAGAATCTATTTAAAGCTACTGCCAGGACAGCATCAGATGACAGCTGCTGGTGCAGCTCTGGTTTGGTTTGTGGAAATGCAAATCTGATATTAAGATGCTGAAAAAGTTTGGCCTCACAGACTGCTGGAGAGTGAAGCTCTGACCCAAATATCTAGCTGAACCAGGTTTTATCAGGACAAACTGAGTTCTAGAACACAGAACGGCTGAAAACCAATCAGAAAAAGGCAGAATAAACAGCTGTTACCCGGTTCAGGGCTCCCTCCTGAAGCTGGTTGCCGTTTTTATCCTGGAAGATAATAAAAGAGGACACAATGTTGTGATTCTGCTTTGAGTCTAGATTAAACCAGCATGAAAATTTGGATACATTTTTGATTTATTTTTTAAATGAATTATTCTGTTTGATTTTTTTTAATTTTCACAATGTAAAAAAAATAATAAATAAAAATAAACACAAATATCAGAGGTGAAAAAAACATTTTAAGAGATTTGTGATAAGTCCTAGTAAGTCACCAATCGATAACAAAACATCTCTGAGAGAAAACGTTACAAACATCTTTCCTTTGCCATCGGATGCTGGAAACACAAACGAACATAGTAACCAAAATGGTAAATTATTTATATAGCGCCTTCTAGAGTCCTAGAACCCCCCAAGGCACTTTACAGTACAATCATTCACACACACAGATGGTAATGAGCTACATCGTAGCCACAGCTGCCCTGGGGCACAATGGCAGGTCCCTCCGACCACCAGCAGGCAAGGAGGGTGAAATAGTGAAATGTCTTGCTCAAGGATACAACAGCTGACATGAACGGAGCCTGAGTTTGAACCGACAACCCACCAGAAGCACAAACTTCTAACCCCTGAGCCATCACCGCCCCAAACTAACAGTAACACAAACTCAGAAGACCCTACATGGGATGAAAGTGTGATTTACCTTTGAAGTGCTGTTGTTCAGTTTAAAAGAACCATTGAGAGAACCACAGTCACCATCTGAGAGAGACAGGTGAGACAGATGAGAGAGATGAGAGAGACAGGTGAGACAGGTGAGAGAGACAGGTGAGACAGGTGAGAGAGATGAGAGAGACAGGTGAGACAGGTAGAGACCATCAGGTGAGAGGAGGAGTTATCTGTTCGATTTTAAAAGTCTATCAGAGGTGAAAAGGAGGACAGGAAGTATAAAAGTAGATTACAGGTGTCAGGTGACTCACTGCTGATCTCCTGGTTGCCATTGGTTACGGAGGGTTTCTGTGTGCCGGAGCTGGATAACATAGTTGTCAGCTTGTCGACTGAAACAAAAAGTATGAGAAAATTCAGCTGTGTGTGAGTGTGTATTCAGCAGGAGATCCAGAAGACACCTCCTCACCTTCACCAATGGCAGCAAGAAGGAGCTGTTCTGCTTTAGGAGCGTGAGGAGTGTCGGCTCTGAACAGGTTTCTGCAGCAGGAGGTCCTTGTCTCCACACATCTGTCTTCTCCTGATTCTTCTCGTGCTGTCACCTGCATCAGGTCAGAGAACAAGGTGACACGCTCCTGCAGGAGCTCCAGCACCTCCCTGTCCTTCTGCTGAATGTCAGCTGTAGAGAAAAGGAAAGACGAATGAGGAACAGAACCAACATCTGACACCAGATCGCGTTTAGATTCATTTACACAGGACAGACATTTACTAACACGATTTCACCTCCTCCTTACTCCTGCTCCTTCCACCACTACCTCCTGCCTCCTGCTGACCCAGTCACCTCCTCCTTACCCCTTTTGCTTACTGTCACCTCATTCTTTCTCTTGCTGCTCCCTGTCACCTCCTCCTTAATCCTGATCTTCCTGTCACCACCTCTTCCTCCTACTGCTCCATGTCACCTCCTCCTTACCCCCTTTGCTTACTGTCACCTCCTTTCTCCTGCTGCTCCCTGTCACCTCCTGCTGCCCACTTTCTCTTCTTTGTCTTTCCTTCTGCTGCTCCATGTCACCTCCTCTTTTCTCCTACTGTTCCCCATTACCTCATCTTCCTTCATTCTCCTGCTCCCTATCACCTCTTCCTCATGCTGCTCCCTGTCACCCCCTCCTCCTTCCTCCTCCTTCTCCCTGTCACCTCATCCTTACCCCTTTTGCTTACTGTCACCTCCTTTCTCCTGCGGCTCCCTGTCACCTCCTGTTTCCCCCTGCTGGCCACTTTCTCCTCTTTGTCTTTCCTTCTGCTGCTCCATGTCACCTCCGTCCTCCTGCTGCTGCTGCTGCTGCTCCCTGTCACCTCCTTCTAGCTTGAAAGGGCCTCCTTTGTCCAGCCATTCCTGGCCTACCTGGTCTTCTACGGCATGGACAACATGTTCCTGAAGGACGGATGCCATCGCTCCATGAAACAAACCTCAAACTGCAGATTAAAACTTTTTCTCACCCTGGAGGAGGAGTGGAAGCAGGAAAGTACAGAGTCTACAAAACCCTAAACAGTAAATATTTCACTTTAAAACTGCGCGCGCACACACACACACACACCTCGGAGTCGTCTCAGCAAAGCTTTGTCTTCCGTTTCAATGAGCGGAAACTCATCTCTGGACGGACAGCTGCAAGTAAAACACAAGAAACTCTGTTACTGTGAATACACTAAAGTACTGGAAAGTTTCTACTGGTACTGTAGTCTTCCTGTGAGTACCTTAAGGTCCTTCCTTTGAGGAATAAAGTTTCAGTTAGTACTGCAAAGTTCCAGTAATGTTCTGACCTGAGAGCAGCCTGCTGAATGCGGCTCATCCAGGTCTTGCGGTCGTCTTTGGATGAAGCGTACAGCTCATACATCTCTGGAGGACTAGAGTCACTACTGATCAGGTACATCCCTCGCTCCTGATTGGCTACTTCTCGGACAATCAGGTTATTTAAGGGGACTATTGGAGATTTGTCCTGAAAGACATAAGGGAGCAGACAGACCGGTGAGTAGAGAGGTGAAACTGTCCCATAGATCCTCGTGATCTTGCTTATCTCATCCTGGGTTGTGAGACAAGGAGGTCACAAGGAATGATCAGCTGTTCATGTAGGATAGATTTGGATAGCTGGACCAGGTTAGTCCTAGTTAAGGTGACCAGGTGGGATGTTTTATGACTCACCAGTGATGCAAAGGTGAATTTTTGGTCTTTCTCCTGGAGAAAAACCAAGATGTCTGACATCAGTAACACCTGCACATCTGGAGATAAACATATAAAGACAATCAACAGGGAAAAGCTCCTCCCACACGTGTTACATAACAACATAAAAGAGCTAAGCCCTGGTTTATGGTCCTCCTACTCCTTTACCTTTCATTCTAGAACCCTGGACTTTCCAGAGGATTGTCCCATCATGAAGAAGCTTCCTCCTTAGCAGTTCCCCTCCTCTGAACACTCCTCCTCTCTGGACTTCAGCCTGGGCTCGAGGATCCAAACGAGCTTGGATCTCCTGCAGCCTTCTGGTGCGGTCTAACTCCAGAACCTCCTGGTCCACTGAGCTGATCAGCTCCTTAAGGAGGTGCAAGGCCTTCTTCAGTGCTTGTGCCTCTTCTTCGCATCCTGCAGGAGAATCGAAAAGATCGTAGACGTACATGAGGTTATCATTCAATCATCATGTTAAAACATGGTGTAAAAAGGGGCGTGAAATGTATGCAGTCTGTTCATGTGTGTGTGTGTGTGTGTGTGTGTGTGTGTGTGTGTGTGTGTGTGTGTGTGTGTGTGTGTGTGTGTGTGTGTGTGTGTGTGTGTGTGTGTGTGTGTGTGTGTGTGTGTGTGTGTGTGTGGACAAAGGAGCTGTTCAGCTACTCTGCTAGTGTGCTGCTGCTGTTGGGAGGATGTGGGAGGGCCTATGTAGCTGATTAGGGCCTGGATGCCCGTGAGGTAGGATATACGTAGGTTACAATAGGGACGAGCAACATCCTCAAGGATGTAGGAAGAAAGAACTTTCCCACCTAGACAGTTTGAGATGAATCATCTTCTGATTCTAGGATAACGGTAAGCAGTATGAGGTTACCTTTGGTGTTGTCGAGGATTCTCTGGATGAGAACGGGATACTTTGTGATCCGTTGTGTCACCAGAAGGATGCACTCTTGGACGCCATGTCGACGAAGCAGAGGACCACGACACACACGCTGAGAATCATAGAACACGCAACAAAACATTAAAATAGAATGACTTCAGATCAATTCTGAAACAATTCAAACCAGTTGAAACTAATTAAGGAGAAAAATAAGACCAAAGAGGATGGACTTCCGTTATTCTGACCAGTGATGAACCTGATGTGGAGCAGAAAGGACCAAACAACCTCCATCAACCCTACCCCAGTGCCTCACTCATATGAATATAAATCAAACCAGCTCACCCGAATGAACTGTTGCAGTCTTCGGTCTCGAGTTAAAACTTCTTTGTAGAGCTTCACAGCTTTCGGGTGTCGACTGCAGAACTCTGAGTAAAGTTTCTTCATGTCGTCTGCACTTTGACCTGAAAACTACAAAAACATAAAAATGTAAGACATTAGGATGTTCTGTCTGCCACCGTACAACAGATTTACTCAACATTCATTTGTCTTTCAGGGGCAGATGTTGCAGATGTGACCAGTACGATGACCAGAATGAGAGCGTCCAGCAGGGGGAGCCATCTCCCATTAGCTCAACTCGATTCTTTGTTTCGTTCAGCTGATAATGACATTCCCTTTATTAAACACCTGCATCTCTTAGACCAGCTGTCACATGTGCCGGCGTACCTGTCGGAGCAGCAGGTCTCCAAGCCTGCGGATGGTGAAGTTAGTGAAGCTGCCCTCCATCAGTCCGTCCTTCCGCCTGTTCATCAGTTCAGACAGGAAGTTGGAGTGAAGCTCCACCAGCTGTTCCAGGCAAGGGAAGATGGTGTGAACCACACCTGCCTCCAGCATCACCTCCTCCAGCATCCCTCGCCGGTACACCCCTTCCATGATCCGCAACGTCCGGACATGATGGAACTCAGTCTGGATCAACTCTGAGAAACAAGTAGAAACGAGTTGTTGTAAAGGCTAAATGGAATCTGATCAGCACCTGACCACTCTACCAACTGGCCCATATTACAGATATTCCTTTCTATTTCCTCTCACCGTAGATGACGTCCTGCTGTTTGATGATGTCTTTGTGCAGCGTCTGCAGGAAGCTGGGTTCCACAGCCAGACTCCAGCTGTCGGCCTGGACGCAGATTCCCTCTGTACGCAGTTCTTCCAGCAGGGGGCTCGTCCACCACTCTCCTGATTGCACGTCAACACAAATACAGATTAAACAGGTTGCTCCACCTTCTGAAAAGTCCCATCTTCAGGATTTATTTTTGGAATCTGAGCCCTTTGTGAGCTGGAAACCTGGCTGAAAGTCTCACCTACTGACCTTCTCCAGTCAGGTATTCTTGATCATCCAATGACTAATTCCAGGCAAATGTGTCAAAAACAAAGACATCCAAACAAACAGTCGCCAGGAGAAAATTACATCAAATCAAGGCCTCACTATATCGCCTGTGGGGTTCCTCTGGGGTCAGTCCTCGGGCTGACTCTTTATCTTCTACATGCTTCACCCCAAGGATCCATCATCAGTAGGAATGGAATCACTTTCTACTGAATTTTAGCTCCTCAGACTCCACCTCCTCTGTAACACCCCTACCTAATTCCCACAACCCATAATGCTTTGTGTGACTTTCTGTCACTTAACCAGAAACATGTTTTCTATGGAAACGGTCAATAAACCAAATCATAGGAACATCAGCTGATACTGTTCAGAGGAGAAACCATAATCAGCTGTCTGTTGTTGGAGGACAACAGGAAGCTCAGACTGACAAGGTAAGCTAACACACCAGCTGTCATGTGTCCGGGGGAAAGGCATCACAGAGACAACCCGCATTGATCAGAAAAACTCAAATGAATTCACATTTTTCACAATCAGAACTTAGAAAAACACTTAAACGCCACATCAGGCCAGGAGACCCATGATCAGCTTTACAGAAGCACATCAATAAAGGGGTGGACAAACCTTCGTCAGTGAGAGACTCCATGGACAAAGTTCTGCTCCTGAAGTTCAGAGACTCCGTGGACTGTGACAAAATCCTCCTGAGACCAACAGACTCCTCAATCCCTCTGTGAGATGGGAATGAGACAGACAGGTGAGACACGTGGGAGATATTTTAGATATAAAGCTTTCAGATGATCGACTCTCCTCCTGTCAGAAAAGCTAATGTTTTTTAAGACGATCGTCTTCCTCAAAAACTTTACGTTGCTCAATGCTGTGAGGCAGGTGCTCTATGAATAAAGTTTCATTGGTTGATTGATTGAATCAATTCTGTAGTAAAACCCTCAAGATGGTGAACAGAGACCAAGATGACCATCAGCCAATCAGCTTTCTGCAAATCCTCACCCTGCTATGTTATTGGTGGAAACACTCTTGGAAAGCGAAAGACCAGATCGAACCCGCCTGGACCCGAGCAGAGACTGTCGCAGGGTGTCTGAGGGATAGATAGCCGAGCTGGGACGCTCCTTCATCATCGGAGCTGAAGAGAAGAAGGAACATAAAGATGAAGGTGCTTAAATAAACAAACTACAAATAAACAAATATAAACTCACTCTTGGTCCGTAGGGCGACGTTCTGTAGAGCTGAACTGTTCCTCACCAGGGCCAACTTCTGTTGCTGTTAAAGAGACGTGAGTGGTAAGACGGGAAGATTGACAGGTGGACAGAAAGGATGACAGACAGGTGGACAGGTGTTACCCTCTGCTTCATCTTGGCACAGCTGGCCAGACTGTCCCTGCAGCGGTTGTGGATGGTGACGTTGCATCCTGTGGGACGGGCAGACAAAGAGAGAGGTATCTGATAAACTAGCCCCATCTCTGATTGGCTGCTGCAGTGATGTCCCAAACTACTGGGGTCCACCTGTACGTCACTGAAGCCAGGTGAGAAAAGGTTTGGTAGAATCTACAGATGCCAGATGGACTCATGTAACCTTTGCAGAATCTGTCTGTCTTTCTCTGAGATTCCCAGCAGTCACATGACGCATAGGAAAACTAAAGCTCAAATCCAAAACAATACCACCGGTGCTCTGGAGAATCAGCCAAACCGTAACCCTGTTCACGAGCTGGAGGTGGAGCTTAGTCAAGCTCGCAACATGGGAGAGGTGGACAACTGAACAAGTCTACAGTCCTTTATTGGACCAACACAGACACTGGTCATGTTGGTGGAAGTTTCCTGACCCGCACAAAAGAATCACACATGGAAAACAGGTAAGATCTTACAAAAATTTATTTTAAAGGAAAGTAAAGAGAAACTGAGGACGCTGTCCCATAAACGAGACAGGATGAAAATCCAAATCTAAAACAAAAGAACAAATGGGGTGAGAACCAGGAATCTGAGAACCATGGGAAGTAAATAGAAAATGGAATGATCTTACGATGCGGGGACTGAAAATGGGTTGGAGGGGGAGGCTGGTCAGGTCTGGTCTGAGATGGTCAGGCCAAGGCGAGTGGTTTGTAGTTGAGGAAGATCCAGGGCAGGTGGACGGTGGAGAGCGGGCGACCAGGGGAAGTGAGCGACACAGAGCCAGACACACTTCAGACAGACTGGAACTGAGACTAGGATCCAAGATGGGTACTTCTGTGAACAGGGAAGGCTGCATAAGAACAAGTCAAAATCACAATCCGACTGGGACAGGACGAGGTTGGAGGTTACCCAACGTGAGAGTATCAACCGGCACTGAAGTGTGGCAACACCGCTCCTTAAATCCCCTGGCCTTGCTGATGGGAAAATCAGTCACAGCAGAGACTCTCCGACATGCCCACCTGCAACAAGCTCAGAGGAGCAAAACATGATGAGTCAAATGCAGAACTGTGACAGTACCCCCCCCCCCCCCCCCCCCTCAAAGGACGCCACCTGGCGGCCTAGCTGAGGAGGAGGAGGAGGCCTCGAAGTCCCGGATGAGAGAGACGTCACCGATCCACAAGCCGGGGATCCATTGTCGATGCTCCGGGCTGTACCCCTCCCAGTTGACTAGGTACTGGCGACCACGGCCCCAGGGGTGAACGTCCAAGATGCGACGGACCCGGTAGCCGAGGCCGCTGTCAGAGAGCCAAACTGGAGGGGGAGGATCTGCAGGCGGACACAAGGGGTTCGAAACAACAGGTTTTATCAGGGACACATGGAACACAGGGTGAATCCTCATGGACGGAGGCAGGGACAGACGGATAGAGACAGGGCTGAGGACTTCAGAGATGGTGTAGGGGCCAATGTAACGGGGAGAAAACTTCCTGTTGGAGTCCCTGAGCTTGATGTCCCAGGTGGATAGCCAGACCTGTTGACCCAGAGCATTGGCAGGAGCAGGACGTTGGCGCCGATCAGCCAGTGCGCTGAAGGGCAGCCCGGGTCTGGGTCCAGGTGCGCCTAGCGCGGCAAATGAACTGGGGTGCTGTGGCTGAAGGATCGGAGTCTGACGGAAAAAGGGATGGCTGGTAGCCCAAAGAGATCTCGAATGGGGACTGACCTGTAGCAGATGAAAAGTGAATTATGGGCATACTGTATCCCTGACAGTTGGTCGCTCCATCCGGAGGGATTAGAGGAACAGACACATCTCAGCGTGGCCTCCAGCTCCTGGTTCATCCGCTCGCACTGGCCGTTGGTCTGTGGGTGGAAGCCGGAACTAAGGGCAGCCCGGGCTCCCAGATGAGTGGTAAACTCCTTCCACACCCGGGACAGGAAATGGGGGCCACGGTCCGAGAGGATCTCTGCAGGAATGCCATGAAGATGAAGAATGTGTTTGATGAGGAGGATGGCGGTCTCTGCGGAGGTGGGTAGATTCTTCAGGGGAACCAGATGGCAGGACTTGGAAAACCTGTTGACAATGGTGAGGATGGTTGAACCCCTTAGAGGTGGGTAAACCTGTTACAAAGTCCAAGGCAATGTGGGACCAGGGACGCGAGGGAACCGGCAGGGGGCAGAGGAGACCTTGAGGAGGCTGATTGCTGGCCTTACTCCTGGCACAGACCTGGCAGGCACTAATGAACTCCATGACACCCTTGTACAGAGACGGCCAGCAAAACATCCTGCGGATAAGGGTGAGTGTTCTGCCAACGTCCGGGTGGACGGAGAATTTGGAGGTATGAGCCCATTTAATCAGCGAGCTTCTGTTAGGGGGACCGGCACCTGGGTCGGGATCTGTTTGCTGGGCTTCCAGAACCTTGGCTGTGATGTCCCAGGCAATGGAACCAATGATGCAGGAGGGTGGTAGAATGGTAGTGGGCTCAACCTCCTTGTCTGAGGCATACTGGGAGGAAAGGGCACCAGGCTTAATGTTTTTTGCTCCGGGATTGCAAGAGATAACAAAATTAAAACGGGAGAAAAACAGTGACCAGCGGGACTGACAGGGATTAAGCCTCTTGGCCTCCTTTAGATACGCCAGATTCTTGTGGTCTGTCCAGATGAGGATGGGATGTTCAGCTCCCTCAAGCCAATGTTGCCACTCTTCCAAGGTCATCTTTATGGCTAGCAACTCCCAGTCCCCTACGTCATAATTGTGTTCTGCTGAGGTTAAGCGCCGGGAGAAGAATGCACACGGGTGAAGAGAATTATCAGAGGGGGGAGAACTGAGACAGCACTGTCTGCACCCACACCGGTATCGGAAGCATCTATCTCCAGCGTGAACTGGGAACTGGGGTTCAGACGGGTGAGAACTGGTGCTTGAGTGAAACGGTTCTTTAGTGTTTGGAAGGCCAGGTCAGCTTCTGGGGTCCAGGAGAAGGGTTGTTTAAGAACAAGTCAAAATCACAAGAGTTACAGAACAATCCGACTGGGACAGGGCGAGGCAGGAGGTTACACAACGTGAAAGTATCAACCGGCGCTGAAGTGTGACAACACCGCTCCTTAAATCCCCAGGCCTTGCTGATGGGAAAATCAGTCACAGCTGAGACTCTCCAATACACCCACCTACAACAAGCTCAGAGGAGCAAAACATGATGAGTCAAATGCTGAACCATGACCGACACAACCACTGTCCACACAAACACTTGTCCTCACTACTCAGTTCCTCCTGCAGACCAAAAACTTGCATGTCAGGTTAACTTGAGACTAGAATTTGTGGCTAGATGTGAAGGACTGGAGACCTGTTCAGGCGTCCCCCGCCTCTCATTTGATGACTGATGGATACAGACACCAGCTCTCAGACACTAGTGTGGATGAAGTGGTGCAGGTAATGACTAAGTGCTCCAACAGATGAGCAATATTTGCAGTCATCCTGCAGGTGTGATTCTCCTCTCTGGTATGTCTACACACAGCAATGAACAGTGGAGCTGGAGACACTTCTAGATGATGATAAGACATTGTGTTAGACACTGTCTGGATCAGGACTAAGAGCTGGTAGGATGATCTGAAAGTTTTACCAGAAGTAACCAGCAAGTCTCTGTCCGGGACCACTGACTAGCGATGATGCACTGAAGATATAATGATGTCTGGAGGCATCAGGAGAGGTTTCAATCGAGACAAAGAAATTAATTTCCATCCCACAGCATAAACGGTTCCAAACCTGCCACTCATTTGAATGGACCAGGACACCTGGGCAACACGGCTGGTTGAGCAGCTCCCTCTGAAACCCCAGTGTGGTTAGCCTCTGGATGGGCCGCTAGCCTAGAAATATCGACCAACTGTCGCTTGCTGTGCAGTTCCGTCTAGCCACACTCCATTGTAGCCTCAGCAGGTCTACGATTGACTTGAACAAATTCAGGTCCAACCAGTCACAGTGTTCTTTATTTGTAGAGAGCCATAGGGAGCCTAACCCCCAAATTCCACTACCTCCGCTCCGCTCCGCTCCGGTCCGCCCCCGCCTTCCGCAGCCGCTCGCTTCCGAACTCAATTTTTACTGGTACCCGCTCTACAACGGCTCCGCTCCGGTGCGGAGACCTGAGGGGGGCAAACAAGCATGCGCGGGATTTTCGAGATCTTGCGATACAGTCCGAGCAATAAACGCGGAAGTTAGATCCAAACACCCGTTGTGTGGGAGAAGCATCGGAAATGAGCTGTTTAATCTGCCCATCATTGTGTTGAGAGATCAGCAGTGTTTGGATCAACAAAGTGTGACTACTTTGATAGTGGCAACTGTATTTATGGCTTATTTTTGAGCATTTAAACTTCAGCCGCCATTGATAGTTGTTAAAAGTTGTTAAACCTGTGCATATGAAACAAAAAACGCCTTTTGTTTAGCGATTTATTGTGAAAAACGGAAGATGTGCTTGCTCCTTTTCCTGTTGGGCCGTTGTGATTTCTGTCCATTTACTGCGGAGGTGCTCCGGCGTCCGGCAAAAATAGGATCGATTCTATTTTTGCCGGACGCCGGAACAGAGGGCGCCGCACGGCGCCGCACTGCCGGAGCACGGCCGCAGTAGTGGAATTGCTCTGATTGACTAGAACGGGACCGATTTTGCTCCGGCGTTCGTGTCGGAGCGGAGCGCAGCGGAGCGCAGCGGAGCGGAGGTAGTGGAATTTGGGGGTAAGTCACTTCCACACCATGGGTCTCCAGAAGAACGAAAAAATGAATGCAAGTCAACGGGGCTAAAAACACTATTTTCTAATCCGCTTTTCCTGACGCCTTGGATCGTACGTATGTTGTACTGCAATTTAAATGAAAAGTAATGCCGGGTGTTTCGACCACGCCTGTCCCGTACTTTGAGATTTATTAGCTTGTAAAAGTTCGTAATTAGCATGACTACAAACTAGCAATCGGCACGTCACATATGTGACATCACCACATAATCTCCTCTCCATAAAGTAACTGCTACTTACCAAATGACCAGATTTATGG